CCTAAACCCTAATCCCCTATATGAACCCCCTTTGAGGAATTTAGACTATGGCTCAAATGAAGCAGTGGGAGGGAAGCCTGCAGCAGCTTCCTGGACTGAGGCCGTCAGCTCCGGGAAGATGAATCTCCTTATGGTGCCCATAGAGCCTGGTACATTATAGGGTTTAGGGTTTAGGGTTTAGGGTATATTGTGGTATATTATGGTGTATTATGATACATTAGTATGTCATGAAATATTATGGTATTCTATGAATCGTTTATGAATCTCCTTATGGTGCCCGTAGAGACTGGTACATACTGGTATATTGTGGGATATTACGGTATATTCGAAGACCAGTATTTTGTGAATCTTTTATGAATCTCCTTGTGATGCCCATAGAGATTCCGTCACCGCTAAGGAACTTGAACAATTTGGTTGCATGCAAACCTGTAGCGGGAATCAATTGCAAGGGAATATGGAAATCAGAGATTTAGGACACAAGGCAACTTGACTTGAGTTGCCTTCATAATTGTCAGGTGAACCCCTTGATTTTCTATCCTGGGTCCTGAACAGCAACCCAGGAGAACACGCTCGGGGGCACAATCCATGCCAATTGCGATCTGCAGCTCCAGCACAACTTGTTCATCATCGCCGCGCCCTGAGCTGACGTTGCTGTTGAACTCTGAGCGGATGGCGCAATATTTTGCAACAGCAGATCTTGTTCTTTTCTCTCTGGCCTTGGGCTAGTCAGAGAGTCAGAGAGTCAGATCTGGAAACGGCCTTGGGTCATGGTCAGGGACCAACATGCATCACGCGCATGGACGGTGTTCGTACAAGGCCATAGCACGGAAAATAGCAATCAAAAAGAACTTGCCACCAACATGAAGCCATGTGAACAAGATGAACAAGTAACACCAACGTACACACCAGCACGCCATGAGCATGAAATGAGCTACGGGCTACAGGAATCTGTATGCACAGACAGCGCCTGCAGACATTCTGAAAATCAAACAGCAGATGCCTCGACAGCACAGCAATAGTTGACATGGTGCCGGTCACATTTATGCCTTGGCAGCACATCAAACATTGGGAGCCAAAGGATGCTGTTGATGATGTCTCAGTATTGACATGTCCAGACTGATGATTGACCACCGCTGCCTAGGCACACTTGTGCGCTGAGTTTCATGTGCCAAAAAATCAACTCCACGCTCACCAGAAAAGGCAGGGTGAGGCTGCGTTGTTGAGGTCAGTCAAACTCTTAAACGGGATCCTGCCACTGCAGCAGCTTACTAGAGTGAATGGAAACAACAACGCTGCAAGGACACATCAATGTGCGGACGGCCTTCCTAAAATTGAAAAAATCTTTGTTCGTGACTGGCAAGCTCAGAAGTTCGTGCAACCGAGGCCTCATCTAAATAGCATTGTTTATGGGTCCCATGCTGCTGCAACGAATACTGTGAGTTACTGGGGTTTGGCTGCTCCGCTGCTGCATGGGCTAAGTGACCTGGCTAAATAGCACCATAGCTGAAGCCTGGAAAATTACAAGCATGCTTCTCCCAAATTCCCCACTTACTCATGGCTATTTTGCATTTTTGGTGGGCGGGTGGCATTTGTCGCGTTTGTATACAAGTCAACAAGGTGAGCATCACACGTCGAATCACCGTTATTTCGTTTCCGGACCTCCAAACAGTGTTAAGTTCAGCAGTTCGCATCATCATCAGTAGCATGACCAGTATGATTCACCTTGTGTTGGCAGTTTCTTCTGTTTCTCTCCTGATGGATAAGCCGACAGACGAGGCCGAGCACAGTCTGCGAGTGCGGCACGCACTGATGGCACTGCCTGGCACGAAGAAGGCGGGGATAGGACATTTGTAGGCCTGTTTAGAGCGTCGAGGAGTTGGAGTCGGAGAGGGGGTAGGAGTTGGAGTAGGAAGAGGAGCAGGAGGAGGCATAGTGGCAGGAATAGAAGCAGGGGGAGTAGAAGTAGGGGTAGGACAAGTAGAGACCAGGAGAGTTGGAGTCGGA